TATAAGATACTCCATGTTCTGGTCTGCCCAGAACTTTAGCTAACTCGAAAGCCACTTGTTGTCATGCTGAAATATTCATTTGAGTGTAATATGATTTCTGAGGTTGCCCGAGAAGTTGAGCTGATGCTGGACATCCAGAAGAGTGAGACCAATTTATCCTTTTCATTACAGCAGGTGCAACTTTGCTGAAATCAATCTTCATTCACGTATGAAGTTGCCTGAAAATATTCAGGCATCAAGAGACTATAGTTAGCACAAAAAATGTCTTAGCTTGCGTGACTGAGTGGATAGCAAGTCTTGGTTGCTAATCTTTCCTTTTTCCTAGAGCCTGGAAGGAAACCAAGTGGAATGAACAGCTGCCACATTCTACCACTCTTGCATAATGAATAGCAATGCTTTATGGGGACTTTTACTGGAGCATGATCTCCTCACATTGCTTCATTTCTAGACATGTGGAGCACAACCTATATTCTGTGGCAGTTTTCAAGAGGAAGCTACATTCTCACTTGTCTCTATTCATGATAATCAGAATCGAGTCTGCAGTTCTAGAAAATTAACATTGGGTGCAGTTGTCATTTGCAGGGAAGGAAGGAAAAAAACAGGTCCTTATTATTAAAGGGGAAGCATTATTTCTTGGTAGGAGTAGGAGGAAGAAGAAGAAGAAGAAGAAGAAGAAGAAGAAGAAGAAGAAGAAGAAGAAGAAGAAGAAGAAGAAGAAGAAGAAGAAGAAGAAGAAGAAGAAGAAGAAGAAGAAGAAGAAGAAGAAGAAGAAGAAGAAGAAGAAGAAGAACAACAACAACAACAACAACAACAACAACAACAACAACAACAACAACGCTGGAAGAAGGCACTACTATGGTCTTTAGTCTGGATATACGAATATCATCTCTGCCCTGTTTAGGTTACAATGAAGAATACTTCAGTATATAAAAGGAGAAATTCCAAATAAGAAACTATTTAATATTCAATTTATAACTCTCTATATAAATATGACAAAATACTGCACTTATGGACTATGTCTTTGCAAAAATATAGTTACAATTAATTGTGACTTTGTCTTCTTGGCAATACTGATTCAGGATATGCAAGGGTCTTCTAAAGTCTTTTGGGAGCTTGACATCATCACTGTGCTATCCATATACAGTAAAATGGAGATAAAGCCATCTGCCAGCTTAGGACATGAACATTCAGGTTGCCAAAAGATCCACCATGGCATAGGTACTATTATTAAATGAAAGGGGAGCAAGCATGCAGCCTTGTTTAAACACCCTTATATGTTAGAACAGCATTTGATAAATATCTCCTTTCATCTTCAGAGAGGTGCTGTTAAGAATCTAAATAAGAAATAATGAATGGGGATCAATCAAAGATTTCCAATGGACTATCAATGTTCTCTTTTGGAAATAGAATCAAGTACTGATTGCAAGTCTGTGAAGGCTACCTGTGAGGAGATTATAGCATTTGGGATTTCTCAATAAAATGTTGGCGTATCAGGAAAGACTCATAGTAGACCAACCCTTTGTGAAACCAGCTTGTGCCTATGCTATCAAATTTTCTTCATTCACCCAATCCCTTAATTTCCCTTGGAGATGTCTGGTAGGCAGGGACATCTCTTCTACTTTTTGAAGATGGTAACTACAATTGCTGTGCGTTAATTCCTACAAACATTGCCAGATTTATCAATATGTGTAAACAGTGCTGCCTGAACAGGTACCTCCTTCCCTCATTTATAAACTTCTTAATTAAAGCAGGAGGAATGAGATATCTCTATGAACATTCCATGGCTCTCAGATGAGAGATCAAGTTTGTAATCATAGAGGCCTGTCATTTGTTAGCTTCAGAGCTAAAGCAACATTATTAAGATTTTCATGACAATGCTGTTGATGATAGAGTTTAAATCTCCTTTATTCTTATTTCAATTGACAGAATCTCCACTATTGAAAATGCTTATGCAAGTGGCAAGAATCATAGGAATATACTTAACTTTTTGTCAGGTATTAGATTGATCAGCAATCCAATGTAATGTGGAAGAATGACACAGAGTTGTTTGCTGTTGCAACAAGTTTAAATAATATATTATTCTCTAGATTCTACTAGTCTGCAGCTTCCCGGATTCCTTGCAGGTGGCCATGACATCTACAACTGATGGGAATTAAATGTCACCTATTCCTGTTACAAGTTGTTTTTAAATGTTTGAGAAACAGCAAAGGGATTAAAACAGAGTACAGTCATGAATCTTAGAATAGAGACCATTAAACACAGTGGAGTGTGCTGTGAGTATATTTATGGAGAGTTGTACTGACAATCACAAATCAGAAAATAAGTGCTAAGTTTAAAGAGCAAACATTCTATAGATTTCCAGTGTGATGTTAAATAGGACATAATCATTTCAGTCACAATTATATGGCAACCAGATCTTTAGGATTTTCTTTCTGGCTTCCTTTTTTAATACTTGAGGTTTTTTTTTTTTTCCTCTGAAGACATTTAATCCAGAACACATTCTCCTAGCAATTACAATGAATTACTAAATTGTGAATTTGTTATATTGCACATATCCCTCACAAACAGCCATATTGGTTAGGGCTTATTGTTACTGGAGTTCCTCAATACTTGGAAGATCACATATTGCCCATACTAGATTTACACATACTGTATTCACACAGCTGGTATTAATCCAGATTCAGAACAAGGCTACCCTCCCTTTGCTGTCCAAGCAAAACTTGGTAAACTTTGAGAATTGATTGGACATTGTTAGGTTATGGCCTAAAGAAAGCTCTAGAGGAAGGAGACTGTTCTAGCATTTCTATTATGTGACACAAAATAATATTAAATGTTCTATAAAATAAGAAAAGACTGGTTTTTGATAAAAATTACTAGCCTCAAGTGCAGTAGAATCCTGATTGAGTCTTGTCCTTCTCAGGTGGAACTGAAAAATTATCTCCCTAAAATTGGATCTGACGTTTACAAACAGTATTAACCCAGATCTTTACACTTATTTAAAAATATCTCAAACTAAGTCAGGCTACTAGTACATTAAGCTCAGTATTGTTTATAGCATAGTGGGGGACTGGTGTAAAAATATCTTAAAGTAAGTCAGCAATTAATCCATTGTTTTTAGTGTAATGGGGAACTGGTGGCCTACATGTGTGACTGAAGTACAATTCCTAGTTTTCCTTATTATTGTATTTTGGCAAAATGTGGCTATCCATCCTGGTCAATGTGGTTGTAAATGTCAGTTCTAGATTTCAGGTAAAGAATTTTTCAGTCCCACCTGAGAAGCATAAGACTCAATCTGGGTCCTTCTGCACTTGAGGCTAGTAATATTTACCTAAGCCTTTACCCACTCATTTCACCTTTAGCTTTTTAGACAGAGGGTGGAAAGCATGCCCCACTATTGTTTAAGTAACCAACATGATTAATATGATCTGTATAAGACCATACTAAAATAGTTCCTTTGACAAACAAGCCCAGGTCAACTTCTATTATATTAAATAAACCTGGGCCTTGTGTCCTCAATCCATTTTGTCCTAGGATGCCAAACCAAGTTATAAGCACCACTGTTCTTTCTTTGTCTCTAGGTAATTGTGAGCCTGTTCTGAAGCTCTTGCCTGAGGTAATTCTCTTGCAAATCAGCAAGCATCTCACTGTAATTGCAATTTATCCTTTAGTGTAGAATAAAAAATGGCCATTAACGGTAAAATCTGCAAAAGAGACATTGTGAAACAAGCTCTAGTATTGATCTTTGCTGACAGAGCCAATTTCCAAGATGCTGGAAATCTAATTTTTTTTCTCTACTTCCAAAGCATCTCTGTCAATCTTCCTCAGCACTACTCTTCTTCCCTTCCCTCTTTTCTTCTCTGGCCTCCCTGATTCTTTTTACTTTTATGGTTTGTGCCCTTTTCACCCAGTGCTGTTGGAGATTTTGCTGAGGAAGAAAAGAAGCTGACTTTCAAAGCAACAAATAAATAAATCAGCAAACATGCAGTAAAGGAACAGAGTTCTGTGGAACCGAAGAAGAACAATGCCAAAGCCATGCAAATTGACCAATCAACCCAGGCCTTGAAGGGGTGACAAAGAAGGCTGATTATTGCTGTGACTCAGAAGGGAGTGGCTATCTAGTGCCCCTTCTCCTCTAAGCAAGCTCCCCCTTAAAATGTGTGTGCTTGGGCTTTCATGCTTCAGCCCCAGAGAAGGCTGGATGGGGCAGGACAGCTCCCATAGAGTCAGTAGTCTTAATTATCCAAATCCGCATGCCTGCGAGTGGCTGTTCATAATACTGCCTGTCTGGCATTCTGCCATCATCTGCTCATCCATTTTTCATGACTCTTCCATGCATTAATTTCTGGGTTATTCTAACCCCTTTAGCTGGTAGCTTGTCAGAAGATGTTTCCCTATATTGTGACTGTAGAAAGCTGATTATGGTAATAACCTCATAAATTTTCCAGCAGGAAGTGTGAAAACTTCATTAGAAAAAAAAAACCAAAACAAATGGAAGATTCAGTGTTTTGGGGGAGGCTTCCCATTCCAGAGGCAAACATTTTGCCTAAATACAAAACATTCTTTATTCTGGTAACTTGTAGTCCAATTGTATTAATATTCCCTTCATTCCCTATCATTATATTGGCTGGGGTGATTCTAGCACTGCTGGACAAATTACCTGGTGGGCTCCAGGTTCAAGGATGTTGATAACCATTTGGCTTTTTTCATTTTTCTTGAGAGTATTTGCTGCAATTTTCTGTTATTCTGTCGATGCCACTTTTATATTGCTGATTTTACAGCGTCTATGAATGCCTGATGATGTTGATGACAATGATGTAGGGTTTTTTTGGGAAGCTTCAGTAACATCCTCAAAGTGCTTAGGGTAAACATTATTTGATTAGTAAATTGTCTCTGATCATATGAATTTGTTTTTTAATTGCTACAGTTCTTTTAAAAACCCATAACAAAACAGCCTTCCACTGTTATGGTCCTGTGTCTCTCCCACCCCTTTTCTTTCTCAGGTGTAGTACGTGCTTCCAGCGTGTTTCCCATCCTAAGCACAATCTTGCTGTTACTGGGAGGGCTCTGCATTGGAGCTGGGAGGATTTATAGCAGCAAAAACAACATTATCCTTAGTGCTGGAATTCTTTTTGTAGCAGCAGGTAACTTCATCTTTATTTTATAGGCTTTTTTAATTTTGGGGAATGGAAAAGGTCATGTCCTCCAAATAATATCAGCAAAGATCTTATGATTACTGATTGGGTTCAGACTTTCACTGAGCCAATTCTGCTGAAATTGGAAAAAATGTTATTTTCTTCAGCACTTTCCCTCCCACAGCCCCAAGTGCCACCATATAAAGTTAGCAGACTTCAGGCTGGGAAGCACAATTAGTGTTTTACAAACCTGTCTCTCTACCAACGTGGCTATAAAAAGGAGGATTGGAGTAATGGAATAAATTACAAAGCATGGATTTAACAGAATACTATCTATTGCCATGTGGCGTCCCCATTTCCAAACACTTTTTAGAACCCCTGCTTGCTTTTATTCTTCCTGAGGGGAAGGTGGACACATTTCCAAATCAGCTCTAAGCTAAACCATCCATCAGGCTTATCGATCAAGTCAGGGTATCAAGAATCAACCCTGAAAATAAAGGCGACAACGTAATTGACACTTCGCTTTACGTAAAAATGTAAAAGAAAATTAACGGTAAACAGCCTGGAGGCAACAAAAGGAGGTGTCCACTCACTTTCTAAGCACCTTGATGGAAACCCTCCTCCAAATTTTCACACAGCTTTTTGAGTGAAATCGGAGGAGGCCTTAGGTTTCTAGAAAAGGAAAATAAAATCCTTCATGTTTCTAACCATTGTCTTCCTCTAAAAACTCAAGGACAAATCATAGTACTTCTCTCTTTTTTTCCCTCTTTATCAACACCTAAAAGAACAGCCCTCCTTTTTGAAGGAATGCTGGTAGGTCTTCACTGAAAGGGTAACTCTAGAGCAGAGATGTCAAACTCGAGGTCCGTGGGGCTGCCCCCGAGGCAGTGAGGGACCAGCCCCTGCTGTCCTGGCCCAGCTGGCTAGGTGTCCTCCCCCGGGTGCATGCACAGCAAGTAGCAAGCGCAGCAACTGCAGCCCAGCAGCCCCTCAGCCACCCATTGGCCACCACACCCCGGGATCCCGCAGCCCACCCAGCGCAGGTGGGTCCAAGCACCATGGCTGCCGGCCAGCCTCCAAGCAACAGACAGAGGCAGAGGCACAAGGGGGCGGGAAGGCACATGATCTGGTCCCCTGCAGAAGCTTTGCAGAACCGAGCTATGGATTGAATCTATAGCAAAGTTCTCAGCTACAGTGGCCTTCTGGAAAGGCCTCTGACTGCAAAATGCAGGCCTGGGGATGCCACAGAAGAAGTGGGCTGGCGAGGGGAGGCCTGGTTGCAAGGTAACTGGGGGTGAGATGCGTGTGGCAGCTCCACCCACCCCCATCCCCACCCTAGCTTGATTTTTAGGTTTGTGCCTTTCCCCAGAACTAGGGCTTATTTGGGGGGTAGGGCTTACTGTCAGGGAAACATGGTAGAATAGAATAAGAATAGAATAACAGAGTTGGAAGGGATCTTGTAGGTCATCTAGTCCAATCCCCTGCCCAAACAGAAGTCCCCATTTCTGACAGAAGGCAGCCCAATCTCTTCTTGAAAGCCTCCAGTGATGAAGTATTAACAACATCTGAAGGCAGTCTGTTCCATTGGTTGATTGTTCTCACTGTCAGGAAATTTCTCCTAATTTCCAGGTTGAATCTCTCCTTGATCAGCTTCCATCCGTTATTCCTTGTCTGGCCTTCAGGTGCTTTAGAAAATAGGTTGATCCCCTCCTGTCTGTGATAGCCCCTCAAATATTGGAACATTGTTATTATGTCTCCCCTGGTCCTTCTCTTCACTAGACTAGCCATGCTCAGTTCCTGTAACCATTCTTCATATGTTTTAGCCTCCAGTCCCCTAATCATCCTTGTTGCTCTTCTCTGCACTCACTCCAGAGTCTCAACATCTTTTTTTATAGTGTTGGGACCAAAATTGATTGCAATATTCTAGGTGTGGTCGTACCAAGGCTTTATAGAGTGGTATTAGTACCTCACATGATTTTGATTGAATCTTGATTGATTGACAAGACTGGAGGTAAATAGAACAGAGTTAGTGCCCTTTTGGCATCATTTGTTGTGCTCATCTTTCTAACTAGTCTCTTGTTCAGAAGATAATGGGATCTGATTAGGGATCTGATTAGGTAATCCTGTAACCTTCCAAGTGTTAACTCAGTCTCTTCCACGGACTGTTTTCAGTCATCTCTCAGAAGTAAGGGCATAAATATTGCAGGGTTTTGTTTTTTAATCAACAGGTATGGAGAAGAAAACTAGGGAGTAGACCAATAATAAATGTGAAGACAACCTCAATTATTACTGTTATTATAATGTGAATCCCAAAGAGACCTGGAATTTAAATTCAAGTCTCAGAGCAATAAACTTTTTGTTTTAACAAGTGAAACCTTGGAAATTAAATCTTACCTTACCCAGGCTCAAACTTATTATTACAGATTTTTTTTTTGAGGCATAGATTGTGTGTGTGTGTGTGTGTGTGTGTGTGTGTGCATGCACACGTGCATGTACACTGTATGTCCCCTCCACCAGTTGCAAGAATCTTGAGAAACTTCCTTGGTGATCACAGGATGTCCAGCTCCTTCGTAGCAGTTATTGACACATAAAAAAGAATGCTGTCTCTCATCATCATAAAGTAGGTGTACCCTGTATCAGGGTTTGTCCTTCTCTGAGATTTGCCACAACATTCCTTCCAAACTAAGCAGATGATTCACTGTATCCTGTGTAGTTCAAGATATATTCTACTGGATCTAAAAACAATTTAAAATAACATGAGATACTTCCCATGATTTTACCGGAGGCACTTCCAGTGGTTTCACCTTTTATCTACCTTACGTAAGACAAGCCTTCAAACCTATTGAACATACTTTAGTAACTGTTGTTATCTGTGATTTATCTCATACTATTTATTTTATTCTTGAGCATTCCTGGAGTGTGTTGGAAAATATTGCCTTAAACCACATAGATAACATAAGCAAAAACTCTTGATGCCCTCCAAGTATTTTGTACTTCAAGTCTAGGCAACTATTCATTTTATACATATAGTTAAGGTTCTGGTCCAATAATATAAAGCAAATAAACTCATGCTCAGAACTGCATGAAAATGAATTAGCCTATGGAGTAATTAAGAATAAGATGCAAGTTGATGTGGCAAGAAAATTATCGTGATAATTGTCTCCTGGAGCTTTTCTCCTAACTAGATTTCTCTATTTTCTTTCCAGGATTAAGTAATATAATAGGAATTATTGTCTACATCTCCAGCAATGCAGGCGATCCTAGTGACAAGCGGGATGAGGATAAAAAGAACCAATACAGTTACGGCTGGTCTTTTTATTTTGGAGCCCTGTCTTTTATTGTGGCAGAAACAGTTGGTGTGCTGGCTGTGAACATTTATATTGATAAAAACAAAGAGTTGAGGTTTAAGACCAAAAAGCAGTTCCTTAAGACTTCTGCTTCCCCTTACGCAAGGATGCCAAGCTACAGATACAGAAGAAGAAGGTCCAGATCCAGTTCTCGATCAACAGAACCTTCTCCTTCTAGGGACATTTCTCCAGTTGGGATGAAAATGGCAGGTTCTTTTCCGATGAATGAAATCTCCATGTACACCCTCTCCAGGGAACCTTTGAAAGTCACCACAGCAGCAAGTTACAATATAGAACAAGATGCTGGCTTTCTTCAAGTCCACAATTTCCTTCAAAAGGAATTCAAAGAGGGACTTCATATCAATATGGTCAACAGGAGAACAACACCTGTTTAAAGGGATTTGTTGGTTTTTTTTTTTTCCTGAAACAAAGCAGGGGAAGCGAAATCCAGATTATGTGAAAAGCATGTCTTTTGAAAAGGCTGTTGCATACTTCAGGAATAAGAATCCCAGAATGAAGTTGCAGACAGAGACATAACACAGTGACCTGGAGAGATGGAACAATACCTTTTTAGCTGATTTTTATAAGCTCTTTCAAAATTTGATTAAGAAAATAATGTTTAAGAAATACATAACAGAAATTAAAATCAGCCATTCCAATCCCTCCACTTTTATAGTATGTATTGTGTAATTTGTGTCTTGGAAAATATTTTAGTGGAAATAGATTTTTAAATTTTCAGTGTGGAAATTTTTTCTATAACCTGGCCCTTTGGTACAATCTGAAATTCATCATAAATGCTGCCTAATGTTTATGTTTCTTTAGAGCAGAAGGCATGAATGAGAATGGCTGGCTGGGGAATTCTGGGAGTTGAGGTCCACAGACCTTAAAGTTGTCAAGGTTGGACACCCCTCTTTTAGAGCAAAAGTCAAACAGTAGGGGTGGGGAGGAAGCATATGGTTGGTTCCAACTTTTGAAGATCAGTGAGGAGAACCATTCAAACTGGAGTTCTGCTTCTGAGCCTTAGGCATCCTTGGGAAATGATCTGGTTTCTGACTTTAAAAACCCTATAACAGTGTTTCTCAACCTTGACAATTTTAAGGCATGTGGACTTGCATTGCTGGCTGTGGAATTCTGGGAGTTGAAGTCCACATGCCTTAAAATTGTCAAGGTTGAGAAACACTGCCCTATAATATTGCTGAGAAGGAAGACATAGGCGCCATTGACTTCTCTTCCTTGTTTACTGGATTGCCCAGTAGTTTTTGACTTTTTATGCTGCACACTCTTAAATAAAGACTGCCCATCCTTTATTACTGTATATAAATGAACAGCCATTCCCCAAAGGTTTGAAAAAACTTGAATTGCAAAGTCAAAATTTGGGGATGAGATGGAAGGAACTGATGCTATATATCTGTAAAGCAAGTTTGACAAATGTGTGGTCAGGGGTAAGTTTATTAACCCTATTCTAGATTTTAAACATTTGTAAAAAATAATAATAATAATCCAGAACTCATAACATGAATAGACCTGTGTTGGTGATTGGGGAAGAGGGCCTTTACTAAACTAATCATTTGCAGCCATAATTTTCTAGGCACTTCATCTAAAAGTAATCCTTTACTTTGAGCTGCTGTGAAATACACAAGGCACCTGTTCTAGCATGCTAAAATGTAGTTTCACCCCTTCTTACATGCACCAGTTTAACTGTGTTAATGGCAGGAATTGCAGAACTTTTTTTCTATGAAGGGCTATTGATTCCAAACAGGAACAAGCTATTAATTTATTCCACATTTGAATACTAATTAATTGTATTATAGGTTCTTACTTTTTATTTTATTTTTTTAATAAAGAGCAGCTTTTGAAAAATAATTATCTAATGCCTAGAAAAAGACAGTTGGGGTATTAGTTGACCAAGAAGAAAAATACTATGGCTCTTGCTTGAGAAGGGAGATCTGGACTCAGACATGTGTACCCTTGCTGCTTTTATTAGGGAAAAATCTCTCACATTCTTGGAAAGGCATGCAAGAGGTTGCTGGAAATGTCTATGACTACTTTTTTAAGGGGCAAAGGAACTTCCCAGAAGTACCAATAGAGGAAAGGAATGGAATTAAGTGGAAGACCTGCCTCTCTCACCCTCTGATTGGAGATTCCCCACCTCAGATTTCCTAGATTTATAATTAAAGCCAATTAAATTTATCTGTTCTCTTGCAAAGCCTTAAATTCTATTTAACTCACTGCAGAATCCTTTTGCATTGCATTCAGTTTCTACTTCATAATACAAGCTGAGCTGATATGAACCAATTTTAGAAATATTTGTAAAGATAACTTTTTTTAAAGAAAAAAAGCTACTTTAACAGTTCAAAAATATATTTTTAAAAGAGAGGAAAGAAGGGACTGAAATGAATGTTGGAGGATGGTGTATTTTGAGACTGTAAAGCACCTTTTCCAAATCAAATCAAGCTCCACTGTTTCCAGCATTCAGTCTTCAGCCAGTACTGGCAAGACCAAAGTCTAGCAAACCAATTGCCTGTTCTTACTTTTACAGCAACTAAGGCTTCATTTAGATGTTATGGTTAATGGCCATTGATGGCTCCACCATGATTCTGACAAGTTCAGGCATCAGCAAGGAATGCCAACCAAACATCAAAGCCGTTTAATCAGGCCTTTCCAACACACTTAATGATAAAGCATGATGGAAGTGCAGTTCAGCAACATCTGGAGGGCCACATATGACTTTACCATTGTAGGTCTTTTGCAAAACCATCTAAACAACTGGATGCAACTACATTTTATGTAAAATTGATGCTAATGTCCGTTAACCCTTTTTATGTGACAAAAGAGTCTGCACGAAGGTTACATTTATTTCAAAATTTACTTTAAAACACTAGAGAGGTTATTTGTGTCTGTATACCTGTTCATGTTCTTACAAATGATAAGTTATTTCTTCTTTGAGATGTCTTAAAATTAAAATAAAGTGTTGATAGGGGTAGTATAAAGCTATGATAAGAGTACATAAAGAAGCAGTTTGTGTCTGTGTCATTATTAAGTGCTTATATCTCTTTTCATTGCTGTATATTCAAGTGTGATTTTCTGAATTATGTTTTCCTACTGTGTTAATAAACTAACAGGTAGAATTTAGTTCTCATGTGTATTTGCTCTAATTAGAGTATCCATACATATCTAATGAAATTATCCCCCTTTGAAACTGAATATTGTGGGATGGCATTGTCTAAGAATTTTCTGCATTAAGATTGGGTATTTGTTGCATTGTAAAATCGAACATATTCTTCTAGTGGCTATGTTTTTGTTGATAGTTTACTAATTCCTGCACCATTCCACATATATATAAATATATTTGTATCATGTTTTGTGCATTGATATTGCCTGGCACTGTGCTACTTTGTATTATACATGAGAAGTAAAAAAACCAAATGTTTGTTTATCTTACCGCTAATTTAAAAAAGAGTTTAATCCCCGGAATTACTCAAAATGTCATACAAACTAAGCTAGCAAAACAAGGAATACTGCCATATATCCTTTTTTTTTTATATGTGAGCTATTTCTTCTCTTCCAATACAAATTGATGTGTGTCTGTCCAGAACTATTCTATGTGGAATTCAGTTGTACTTACTCTTAGATAATTATGTGTAAAATGGCAGTTTTTCCAATCTGTAATGTTTGGCCTGAATTGTCAGCTAAAAGCAAGTCTTCAAAAAAGCTTATGACAAGCTTAATTAAAATGCAGTGTTCACTGATTATTCTGAAATTTTACAAGGTTGAGTTCAAGTGCTTAGTTCTTAATCTTTGACTACAAAGCATGACTTCCTAACTCAAACACTGAGAAGAGGAAAGAAAGGGAAAATCCTTAGAGGATGGCAAAGAACATACATTATTTTTTCCATATAGTAGTCTTTTGAAAAATTCAAAGACTTTTAAGTTATTATTATCTGCCCAAGAGGAAAAATAATTCTTTTAAGAGATATTTGCAACAGTTCATTCTAATTTGGTCCATACAATAAAAATTATTGAGGCAAAAACAGTTTGATCAATAATCTGTTTTAAAAAAATGTCCATTGGGCTGCCATAAATCAGAGAAATAACTAGTATAAAATTGTCTCAGGTAGGGATATGAAAGACTATAAATTCCTCAGGAAATGAAATTGGTCGTTCTATCTGACTTCACAGTGGGGTAGATGTTATTACTGAAGAAAATCTTTGTAATCAAAAATGTGCAATCATCTTCCAGAAGAAAGAATTATTGAAAGTTGCATGCAAACAGTAATAGTGACTTTTTTAAAAAGGCTGTATTTAAAAACCTTCCATCAAGCTTATTATAAATTGACAGGAAGGATTACTATCATTTTAAAAATGGGAAAATTGTACATGAATAGTTACTTATAAGGGACTGAGGGTAATCCTTCATATGTTATAAGAGAGGCTTATGAAACTTTTTACTTTGTTTTAATTAATGGCCCTTTCTGCTTTCTTTTGTTATATAGGATATAATTTAGCCCAATTTTTAAATAAACCATTAAACCTTGATTACATGAAATAATACTAATCTCTCTTTCCTGGGATAGACAGTCAATAAACTTATTTATAAACATTTATTAAGTAAATCTGGATTCACACTTTTTTCTAACATGAAAGAATTTCTTTTGCAGCTCCCAATATTTGATAAATCCATAATTTTTGATAGTGTGATGTTCAAAGCTTTTGGTCTATAAGTCAAGAATACATTTGCACCTTTAGGTTATATTGATTTTTGTAACACCATATGAAACACATGCACATTATACCAAAACAACAATAGACATGGCCATAACTCTTTATCCTTATATTTCCAATATACTGATTGATACCGGCCCCTTTTAAAAAGAGAGAATTTTTAAATTGTTCAGTTAATGTTAAAGAAGAGGCAATAGTTTCTTTAAATCTTGTTAAGAACATAAAAAGCACACATAATCTTCTCTAAGAGTCTTAGCTGTTGATTTGTTCATATGAGACATTTCAACTTTTTTAACCTCAGAATTCTTGCAAATAACCAATGCTCCTTTGTTTTTAAAAAGTATTTCAAACTTAGAACAATCCAAAATACATTCCAAAACTGATAATACTTCAGAAACTTTACATTCTGTTAATGCATATGGACTAAAATCTGATATAAAAGGTAACATTTCATTTAGAGTCAATCCAAATTCTTCAAGAAAAAACCTCAAATGGCTTAAAAACCTGATTGCAGGAAGCTCATCTAAATTCCCCTACTTGCCTATGATTTAATAAAATCATACTGGGATGTAAGCTTGTCATGAATATGGATCAAAAATTACACTCCCCCCCCCAACACCTTTCAAGTTTATTTTGCAACCTTTAATGTGGGAAGTACATAAAGCATGATGGCTGGGGGATTCTGGGAGTTGACATCCATACATCTTAAAGTTGCCAAAGTTGAGATATATTGCAAGAGAGCTATGGCTAAACATGGATGCCTCCATGATGTTGGGTTGGGTCACATCTGCACCATATTGGTTTTTGGAATATGGATCCTTTATATTCCATCCAGAAATTAGATTTAAAATATGTGACCCATCATCATATGACAGGTGAGATTTAGCTAAAAAGAACCCAAGGGATTATCTTTTCCATAGAAAATATATTCGTATCAATCTGCTTAAAGTAAATTAAAGATATTAGCATAAGAGTACCTTTAAATAAATACATCAATCTTGAAGCAATATTCACTTTTCTAACTGGTTTTCCCCTACACACAATGGGATTTTGAAACATTTAATTATGATTTTTTTAAATGATATATTTATATCCACATATGAAAGTTTCTTTCAAATGAAGTTATTTAAAAGAATTGAGGCAACAAGTAAACCCCCAATTTTGACAAATAAGATGACCAACTTTTTTACAATGAGGACACAAATAAATTGAAGAAAAAAATATCGTAAATTAAATATTTTATTTATTGCAACAATACAGAATACATTATAATATGATAAATGCATAATAAAAACATTTGTAAAATAACATTTTATATTGTAATTATGCTTACATGCCTATTAATATTTAAATGAGTACAAAAGAAGCATTGTCCTCCCTAAAGGAGGATGATTGGTCACCTTAAAATTACTAAAGAAACTTTGGAACCTATAGAAAACATGAGATTTTCTCCAATAAATTGACCCATTAAATTATGAAACTCCTGCACAATATCAGCAAATTTTGGTATGTAAAATATATGACTATCAATAAGATAAGATATCACTGGCATGTAATAGTTTGTATTCCCTTCTGTCCACTGGCTTAGACAGTCCTCAAATTATGACCACAGTTGGAATCTCAGTTGTTAAGGGAAGCAGTAAATTGAAATCACATGACCAGTTTACTCAACAACCACAATCCCAGTAGTCCGGGTTGCAGTCGTAAAATGAGAATTGTGGATTGTAAAGCAGATGGAATCACAGGTCAAGAGTACAAGGGTGCCTTGGGGGGGGGGAGGACAGGCCTGCTGTAGGCCACAAAAGATTTGGCGGGGTGCAATGCAATGCAATGCAAAGCTGCAGCCACCCCTGGAAGCCTCAGTCCAGCCCAGCAGCGCTTAAAAATAGAGAGGGGCTGTAATTTCCTCCCCCCACCTATCTTCTCCCCTGATCTATGTATGCCATTTTGTTGGCCCCGCACTGCAATTTGGGGAATGAGGCTTCTAAAACACTACTATAGCAGGCTCCATTCTCACAAACCTTTGGAAGCTTCATTTCTCAAACAGTGTGATTTGGGAAATCATGCAAAAATATCACATTATTTGTGGAAGAAGGCCTGGTGCATCCACCAACTGCTTCACATAGGCTGGGCATGCCTGTCAGCAGCTGGAGAAAACAGCAAAGCTAACTGGAGCTTGTGGAGATCCTGTGGAGACAATTGAGGGCAATTGAGGCTATGCTGAATTGTGCCAGCGTGCTGCAGGTTGGGACTTGAAGTGGCATTTCTTAGCGACCGAGGTGGCCCTGGAGATGCTGTAGAGGCCCGGAGGAGGTAGCAGCTAGCTGAGACTACTGAATGCCCTGGGCCTCTACTTCAGCCCGGCCCTGGTGCTACTGCTGCGTGCTGCTGTGCAGGTCAGCTAAAAGAGCATAGATTGAGGAGGGATAGATAGGCAGATGAGGAGGTTTGCAGCACCCCTGTGGTCATAAATGCATGCAATGTGCCCAAATTTTGATCATGTGATCAAGGGAGCACTGCAACAGTCATTACTTCATTCACAGTCCATTTTTTCCCAGCACCATCGTAATTTTGCATAGTCACTGAACTAATGGGGGTAAGTTGACGACTACCTGTATAAGCTTTTTTTAAAAAAAAATCTGTATAAATAAGGTGACCAACCGTCCTCCTTTAGGGAGGACAGTCCTCCTTTTGTAAGTTCTGTCGTCCCTCAAAAAGTGTCCTCCTTCATGTCCTCCTTTTCGATATTTGAAGATTAATCTGCAGGGCTTTTTTTTCCCTCATAGAATCCTCAGAACAGTGTTCCAGCACCTTTTTTTGATGTTTTTGTTTTCAACTTTTGCATGAGCTGTGCTACTCCCACTATTGGCTTTTGAAAGCCAGTAGGAATTGCTGCTGAGTGTGCCAAAACACCCAGCTGGCAAACTTTGCACATGCAAGTTGTCTGTATTATTGTTGCAATGAATAAAATGTTTCTTTTATTTACTATATTTTTTTCTTCAATTTATTTGTGTCCTCCTTTTCACTATAAAAAAGTTGGTCACCTTAGTATAAAATTATGTTAAAAGCCTATATATCAAGAGAAAGTTTTTAAAAGCAGAAACTCGATTTAATATCTGTTCCAGAAATGAGGAAGACATTCTTGTTTTCTCTTTTTTGTTAGCTTTGAACATATCATAAATTAGGTGAGAGATATCACCAGTCAAAATTTTACAGAGGAAAATGTCTCTGCTTACCAATTAAGCTCTAAAATAATCAAAAAGAGAAAAGGTGGTTGCTACTTAACTTCTGAGCGAGTTGAGGTCCTAATTCATCAGATGATCTTACCAACCTGAAAGCAGCCTAGCCTTTTTCTGTTCTAAACAGCTTCTTGGTTATTAATTTTTCCTTCCAGAGAATGTCACAG